GAATACCGGCGGAGGAGCATCAACCGGCGGCCAAGGCAGGGAGTGAAAAGGCTGAAGTCCAGTATTTAAGCAGATGACAGTTTGCCTTCGAGAGAGGTTGTTGTGCAGCGTCCGAGACTTCGTCCCGATATCCCAATTCTTCCCGGTGACGCCCACCTGCAGTATGCGACATTTACAATCAAAAGTTTAAGTTTTTAATTGTTCTTTTAATAACAACTTTTAATGTTTTTAAAGAATAACTTGTTAATTGGAGTTTGTGAAGTTTCGTAGATGGTTTGTTATCTTTCAATATTAAAGAGGATGTTTCTTTGCCATATTGTTTCATTTTTGAAAGTCTTACATTCCCATCACCGAAGCATATACAGTAACCTATAGATTTGTGATACTGGTATGAAACAGTGTCTTGCAGTAACTTTATTTTTTGTTTTAAACCACTTCTTCCTCAGTGTTCAAACTATATGGAACAAATTTATTACTGTGTGATAGATTTTTTTAAAGCAATTTAGCATTTTGATGCAATTTCAAAAAAAAAGTATCATACGAAACTTTGCTATTATTTTTTCTTCTTTTTTTAAAAAAGAAAAGAAAAGAGAGATTAAGATTAGTTATTTAAGCAATACTTTAAAATTATTTATCCATCCCTTAAAAAAAATTTCAAATATTAAAGGACTTTTTTTATGAAACAGCTCTATAACAAAATGCCATTTTCATTATAAGTAAAATATAGGATTGTTCACAAAACGTAACTTATGCAACGCCAACAGTTTTTTCCTTAAATGAATTACTTAAAAATTAAAATGATGAGGTTGAATTTGCACCACTATGCTATTTCAGATTTTTTTTTTTTGTTTTGTTCTATTTGAATCAGACGGTCCATTGGACACCCCTCCCCCTTCCTATCGTTCTATGTTTTCAAATACGGATTTTAAACTACAGCGGGACTTCGTAGAGATTTAACGTTCCTTGTAATTTATTTCCTTGTAAATCTTCTGCAAATTAGTAGCAATCGTAGTACATTATTTCGTACTTTTTTTTCTTCTTTTGTCTGTTGGGATTTAAGATTCCTTGTCAATTATTTTTAGTAGGCCTACTTGGTGATCGCTGTTATTTTGATTTATTTTTACCTTGCAATTTCGTACTGAACTCAATCGATTAATGAAAAAAAAGAAGAAGAATGGGAAAAAAATTTCATTGTTTTTTTTTTATTTTAAGCGATACAATTTAATTGCGGTATTTTGTATTAAATACTGCTACCGTGCTGTCCCTAGCAAAACTATAAGACGCAATGTAAGATTCCGTCGTACATTGATCAATTTTTCACATATTATTTTTCTTGTAAGTAAATATATATCGTTGAAAAGTAAATACGCAGAGAAAAAAAGTACGGCAAAAACTACAAGAACATGGTAAAACTTACCGTCTTTCTGACACTCTGAACACCAAAAATCTCGGTAATTTTTATCGAAGCACTGTGGTAATGATTTTGGTGAAATTAGCTATAAAATATGGTTTCATAATATGCGATCAAATTAGGTAAATGCGAAAAGTCGATCATGATACCTGAGAGCATGGTATAAAAACCATTTATTCGGCTAAATTTAAAAAGTTTCGCCTTTTTTACTGAATGTCTGGAAATAAGAACCATAATTTTGAAAACTAGAATTTCCAGTTCTCTGTTACCTTGTGAACGGAAAAATTACTAAATATATGGTTTACACCGTATATTTTATTTTTATCAACCAGAAATATGCTATTCTTTACCAGAAACGTCATTACCATACATTTCGGTAATTTTACCAGATTTTTTTCTTCATTTATAATTATTTTACTTTCTACTAAACATAAAATGGTAATTAAATATCTTTATTACAACCTGTAATATCTCTTTATCTATAATATAATAATCTTATCTGTTATCTACATATATTATATATAATAATCTTTTGTGTACTGTGAATTAAAAAACAATATTCTGAAAAAGTCTAATAACATTTCAAATTTTGTATTTTGACTGTTCTGTTTAAGTAGTTTCTATACCTTACAAACCCTTTATCTTCGATTTACGTAGTTACGTATTTGTATACCTTACAAAATTCAAATATATCCGACAATTATTACGTATCATATAAAAATTTTAAAAAAAGGTCTTCATTCGCCCATCACTATGTTAGAAAGATAACGTTTTGACCTTAAGTTCTTTTTGAAATAAATAGAGGAACTAAGAAAGTTTCATTACATTTTGTAATTAATGGAGTAACTAGCCAAATTGGCAGTAATGTTATGTAACACGTTTTTACCAAAATAAAAGTCTCAAATTTTAGTCATGAGTTATTTATCAAATTAAAAAAGTTTCATAATCGATTTTTTTTAATTAGCGGTGTATATAGAAGATAATTAACCTAAAACTGACAGTAATGCTAAATAACATGTTTTTACCAAGTTGGAAGTCTGAAATTTAGACCTCATGCAAATAATAAATTTTTAAGTCAAATTGGGGCATTTTCTTAGGAGGATCTAAATCTTTAATATAAAATGGAGAAGCCTGTTTATGATTTTTTAATAGGTACCCGTACCACTCCCGAGGGAGGAATTGAATTCATATTCAAATTATTTTTATTTATAAAAATCTAAAGATATAAATAATTTGACTTTATGAACTTATAATGAAAACCCGTCAATAAAGCATTAATAAGGAAATTAAAACATTACAGTGATTACCTGCTTATGCCATATCTTTTTCTTCGTTTTTTCTTTCAATATCAATTCAAATTATTTTAAAACACAGTTCGAAAAGTTCTTGTGCTGCGTGTTTTTTTTTTTTTTCAATAGATTTTAGTTTGAAGATAGGGGGTTTCATTTATTACTTAAAGTAATCAAGAATGAATTGAACAAATAATTGCAAGGAATAAATCAATGAATTGAACAAATAATTTCAATCAATAAATCAATGAATTGAACAAATGGTAATCTTAATCTAAAAGGGCACGACCTGCAGCAGATTGCAATCTTAAGATTCCAGATTTAATTTATTTATTTAAGACAATTATTTGTTCAATCCTAACTTTTGTAGCCTATTTATAGCTGATCATGCACTTACTATGCGTTAAATATACCTCTTTTAAAAAGAGAAAAGAAAAGGTGAACATTAAGAAAATTTAAATGTATAAAAATGCATTCATATATTATTAAAAATTTTTATTATATGTTTAAATAATCAAAGTAATATTTCCATGAAAGAGAGAAGTAAAAAATTTATAATTATGATAAATTTATACAATTATACTATACCAAATAATATAATTGTATGATTTCATAATAAATATAATGCTAAATGTTAAAACAATTCAACACAACAGGTATTATTTCTGCGCATACAAGAGTAAATTTGTTTCCTACAATTGCTCCATAACAGCAGGAATTTTTCTTCTTCTGCCTGAAAAAGAAAAATTTTTTGATTTTATTATCAAATTCTGAGAAAGAACAACCAGAGTGTTAACTGCTTTTTTTTATGTAGTGTGTCAGACTTCGCTATCTACTAAGGTACTAAAAAAAAAAGAAAACAAAACGGTAAATGTTTCATTAAAAAATTAAAGAGAAAAGAAAAACAGAAAATAAACATAAAACCGGATCATGAATTTACATGTATGTATCAGCTAATTTCTAAAAAACTGATCAAAAACTAAGGATTTTGATAAATCTCTCAGTTTTTGATCAGTTAATTAAAAGAATAAACAAAAAAATTTAATATTCAGGAATCAGATTTCCCTATCACAAGGGAATAAATATAATATCAATCTAATAATACAAAATGCTCATGCCTAATAGAGAAAGATTACATAAACTGATAAAAAATTTCACATTGGCAACAGAAAACTGAAACATTGAAAGAGTGAGCAATTATAAGCAAGAAAAACATAATAGTATCTAAGTAAATAAAAAAAGACATACTAAAAAAAACAACATCAAAAACCTGTTTAAGCTAAATTATTTCCGTTTAGACATGTAGTTTAAATTACCATAAAGGAAGCTTTCAGTCATGACTTTTCAGGGTGATATTACTTAATTCCTTTTTTTTTTTTTTTAAATTTCAACTGTGGTATATTCAAACTTATTGAAAATTTACAAATGTTAGTGTACGTAACAAACGCTGGCAATATTCCTTTTTGGGCGGATGAAGAAAAAAATCACACAACATGGAAGTAAAAAAAAATCACCAATCAATTGATGCCTTATGAATCACGGTTATAGAGGCTACTGTTATCGAGGTAGAAGAGAATATAATATACTAAAATAAATACAGTTGTAATAGGTTTTTAAGGGCAGTGGAAGTGTTTTAGTACCGAAATGTTTATAATTTAAAAGCCTCATAGGACATTTTATTATTTATTATTCTTTGCATTATTGCATTATGCTGCATATTTTTAGAACTTCATTTTGAAAAGAGAATCAGCATGCAAACACAGCTAGACTAAAACAGGTAAGTATCGAATGAGCGGGTTGATCGAGCTTGAATTGCGAAGCAATCGGAAAGGTACGTTGAAAGCAGTTCCGAAGGTAGGTGAGCTCTATAGTTTATACGAGAAGCTGGAACGAAGACACGTTAGTGATTCGTTGTCACGTTTTTAAACAAAAATTACAACAACAAAAAAAGAAAGAAAAAACAGAAGTTTGTATAACATAAGTACAAACGCAGAACTGTCTTTCAAATGGAAAATCAAAATTTCTGAGGGCTTAAATTGAGATATTACTGGCATGGGGAAAAGGGAAAAAAAGTTTAATAAAAATTTCTGAGACAAACATATTATGATAATTAGAAATATTGAAGATAAATAAAAAAAAACAATAGCTATTAAAATGAAAACCAAGTTGTAAAGTTGAACAGAAAAAAAGAAATTGAAAAAAAAGTATCGTCTTAATTCTTAAAACGAAATTTTAATGCTAAATATAATATTTTCATGGAAAAAATATTCACAAAACGCTGAAAGGGAAATAACATTATCAAAAACGCTTTAAAAATGCGGAGTTATCATGAAAACGCCTATAAAATATTATATTCAAAAGTCAAACAGAAAAAATAAAATTGTATCGCAATTTTTGAAAAAAAAAAAACACGTTTTTTGAAAAAGAAAAAGTTTGATGGAAGCCAAAACAAAAATCGTTCTTAACGAAGATTTATAGCTGAAAATCTCAATTTAACTTAATCACATTTCCGCATTTTTAGAAAAAAATTACCACAAAAGAATATAGTTAATTAAGAATGCTCTTTTTTATTTTTGACTAAATAAAAACGATGATAAAAAGAAAATTTAATAAAAAAAATAGTTAAAAGATTAGCAGAAAAGATTGTTCTCAGTTCTGAAATATAACTTTAATGTTGAGAATCACAGTTTTCTATGTTACCGGTTATCTGTCTTACCATGCAGGAAAAAGTGACAATAAAAGCATAAAATCTATTTAGAAACGATCCGTATAATGCTGCGTTATAATTAATACAGAAAAACAAACAAAAATGAAACAAATTAAAAAAAAGTTCTCAATTTTTAAAACCTAAAGTGATGAAAAAACGACGAATATAATTTTAAAAAAAAATACAAAATCCTAGTTTCAGAATAAAATCATTTAGTTTCAATTCTTCAAATTCCGCTTTTTCTTTCCGTCCTACAGAACATAACTTAATTAGAGCTTAACAAATATGTGTAAAATCAATTTCTAATAATGATTTGTAAAAAAGTATGACTTTAGATTATTCTTTATTCCATCTTTTCGAATTACTCCGGAAAAAAAACTTTGTCGAAAAATACTTTTCCAAATAATACTTTGCCGAATATTTGGTCAAGTATTCGGTAAAAGAGCCGAATATTCGTGTCATCTCTACTTAAAACACGCAAAATTTAAATTAAGCTGAATTAAAATTAATCATAATTTATTTCTGGGAACAAAACACTATATACTTTTTGTATATAATTCGTATTTATCACTCAATTATTTTATATTAATTAAATTTTATATTCATTATTTTTAACATGAACTTGAACCGGATCAGACAGAATATAATGCTGCAAAGGCACAGGAAATGTTCCGCTGAAATTTTATTTTACGTAGCAAGAAAATCATCTTTTCCGGAGTTATTCGAAATAATTTGCTTTGATTCCAGACATTTTCCTTTAATTTTAACATTTTTAATTAAAATTAAATATAAAAAATATGCATTTTGTAAAAAGTTTAAAATAATTTAAATCACTTAAATACAACTGTAATACTATCATTAAACTGCTATATAATTGTTGTTGGAATCATAGTATGCATTGTATCGTTTTCCAAATAATTTGTTTTAAAATTTTGAATTATGCTTTTTTGCATACGGTGTAATTTTGTAAAAATTTCAGTGTTTGATAAGATTATGATATTTTTGTAATGTACTTTTTAAATTAATTGATAATAATAGTTAAAAAAGCTTTTCTGAAATACATTTTTAAGGTTTAATTATATTTAATTTAAGGTGTTTAATACTAATTAATCTTTCCTTCAAAAAAAAAAATAGCTTCAACAGAACAAAATGGTTTTCTTTATGAGAACTCTACAAATTTTCTTTTTTTTCTTCCTTTTAAAAGACAGACAAATTCATAGTCCGGCATTTAAATAAATTATTGAAGCATTTAAATAACAATTATATAGTTCTCAATCTTTCAATATTTGTCGGAGTAAAAATATTTAAGGATTCGACACAACTTATGTATTAATAGTTCTAAACAATTACAAACAAATCAGTAAATATACACTCACGACATATACTTAAGTTTATCATCTATTAATAATTAAGTTAAATTTTATGAGAATATAAGCCCTTTATAAAAATCAGATTTTATATTATTAAATAAAATATATGATTAGTTCTAAGAAACTTACCAACAGTAAGATTAATCGTTGTTATCATGTTTTAAATATTTAGAAAGCTTGACCAATATTTCTGTCGCTAATTTCATATTTTCTTCGACCCATAAACACCAATTTGGAGCAGATAAAATTTTCGAAGCATTTTCCAAAATAAAATTTAATGCGAAGGTCTTCAAACTTTCATGATTAATCATATCTGCCAATATTATCACTTCACAAACATTTTCTTCTGAAAGCAGGGACAAAATTTTCGATGTGCATTTATCTTTTAGATTCGATACTTGATATTTATCGGCGGCAAGTAAAATATTTAAAGTACCTTCGCAGTCCATTTCATTTACAACATCGGTGTACATAAATTTTAGCAGGTTTTGCAAGGTTTTTTCATTTAAATCCTTGATTTGCACAATTCCAGATTGATTTTCAAGCATGTCTTGATCAAACATCGCGGAAAATACAGGAGATCGAGTGGCTAGAACGACTTTATGGGCTAGAAAATCTATGTTGTTTACCCTCAGTTTCACGTCCGAATGTTTTTTGTTCATGAACAGTTCACGAAAATCATGTTGTAACGACGAGGAAAAACTTGTCGATTCTTTCTTAACAATCGAGCTGGTTGAGAGATTTTCAATTTTTGACCAGCTAGCAGTTTTCTTGGAAATAATGCATTCAGAAATGAATGTATAATTGTAGGAAGGAGGACAAGAATTTCCTGTGGACAAGTTCTTTATGCTAATCAATGTAGGAAGCACCCAAGGTTCGGTAGAATCAAACAAATGTAATTCACACATAGAAGCTAGTTTAATGCCAGATGCGCTTAAAAATTTCATTCTAAACAATACTGTTTCATCCTGTGATGATTCGTCTAACATTTGAATTCTTATTTTCACTGCTTCATCAGCTGCGGCAATCAAGTCGATTTTCAAGTTTGGCAATATCGAATTTGGATTGGATATGTTTTCGGACCAGTCGAAGCATCCTACATTAGACACATGCCACTTAAAAATAAATCGATCAACGTCTACAATTGTCACAGCCTCATATTCAATACTTTGTACTTTGTCTTCTTTTTTGCTAATGATATTGGTCATAACACAACGAATAATTATAGTATCTTGGCTCCAGCTTTTCACGAGTCGGTGTAACTCTTCTACGGTTAACAAAAGACAACCCCAATGACCATTTTGATTCAATTCACAACTTTTCTTTTCTTTAGAACACATCCGTCAGCACTAAGTAATCCCAAAGTTACATCTAAAACAATTGATCTTGAATAATTATCAGGATTTTTTCTACATAAGTAAGCAATAATATTGTTTTTAGAATAATCATTTGCTGAGTTTCCTTGCTGATACAGCTCTAATTCCCAACTTTTGACTGGCAAGTTAGCTGAGTAAAAAGTGGGACTTGAAATTCTTTCATTAAGAGCGGTACGACAAGATAAAAAGTTTTTAATTTTCCATGTAAATACACATTGGTTATGTTTTGTAGAATCACCCATTCTTTAAATTAATCCGGCAGACAAGCAGTAGAACAAACAATTAAAAATGTGTTAGCCAAACAAGAAATATTAACACCTAAGCACTCTCATACGTTTCGTTTTGCGATAATTCTTATCGAAACAAATTCTTATCACATGCAAATGGATCTGAAAAGGGAATCTCCCTTTTTTATCTGTTTTTGTGACATGTGACCTACCTTTTTGATAATAATGACAAAAAGGTAGTTGTAAATCAAGGGTATAATAGACACATTCAATTATACTATAAGCCAAGAACAATCCTTCATCGGTTGAGCGATACGTTTAATTCATTGTATAGTTTTTAATCGAGTTACTTTTCGATGATAAATATTGATAGTATCTGGGTAGAATATTTATTTAAAAAATTCAATGCAATTTAAATATGTTGAAGAACACGTTTTATGTTCTCTCATAAATTTAATTTCAGGATTCAATTATCAAATTAAAATTAATTTCAGGAATTCTCATAAATAGAAATTGGTCATATAAAAAAAGTTTTGATCGAAACAAAATCATTTGACAAATATTAATTTATTCTGTTCAATTTCCATGTAATATAAATTGTACGAAATGTATAATGCTGAGAAAATAATGGAATTTTTTTAAATAAAATTACTTTAACCAATGTTATTCCTTACGATAAACGTAAAAAAGAAATAAATAGATTATTCGTTTAAAAATCGAAAAACGTATTTCAAAAACAAAATTTCTGTTCAAAACACGAATTAAGCATTCATCAATAGAAATTTGTATGATTAAAATAGTAATAAAAGCATTTATAAGCGATAAAAATATTTTTAATGTTTTAGCACAAATTGCAAGGTGACAGAAAAGTATTATAATAGTTTAATCATTGCTTAGTTCTGAGTTTCTTTAACTGTTGGTCGCGACTCCAAGATCTGTAGCAGAGATCGTCAAAAAATTTACCAATTTTGATAATCCTTTAAGTTATTATAATAATATTGCAATTACAAATATGTTTAAACAATGTATCTGAAAATAGATATCGAAGTATTTATTGAAACAAGTGAATTTTTCAGTGAAAATGATGAAACATATCACCAACAAGAACTATACCAAGTAATTAAATTTATTTTTATTATAGTATTTCTATTTTTAGTTTGTTACTTATTTAAAATTTTCACATTGTCCTTCGACTTAAAATTAAAAAATTAAGTAAATTTAAATAAAATTTTAAATAGATTTTAATAAAATTTTGTATATATATTTAAATACAATGATGGATATATTTAATTATTAATTTTTTTTTTTTTTTAAATGCGAAGTTTTATAAATGTACAATACAATACGGCATTAAATCTCAGTTTAAAAACTTTTTTAATGATACAAATCATGCAAAATAAATAATTATTCAAAAGATTCTAACATTATGTAAAAAAAAAATTTAAAAAAAAACACAAAATGTAAAAAAATAAATATATATACAGTCCGCAAGAAAAAAAAAAACGAATCACCCTGAATAACTTTCGTTCTAATGATCGGATTTTCACGAACTAAGTGTCAGTCTTAATGGTTCGTGGGGGTGACTTCAAATATGCTAATTAATTAGTGCTAGCTATTAATTAATATACGAAATCAGACAC